GTGGCCGGTGGCTGGCACCGCTGCCCGGCAGCCGCTGCCGGTGCCGGCGCCAGTGGCCGGTGGCCGGTGGCTGTCACCGTTGCCCGGCAGCCGCTGCCCGCGCCGGTGCCGGAGACGGTGGCCGGCGCGGCCGGTGACCGGTGTCCGTCTGTCTGCGTCCGCCGGATTCCCTGCGCGCTGGTCCGGTACAGGGTGGCAGGCGGCTGCGCGGGTGGCCGGCACCGGCGCCGGTGGCCGGGCAATGCCCCTTTGCTGTCCGGTCGGCCGGCGCCGGTGGCCGGTGGCCGGTGTCCGTCTGTCTGTCTCTGTCTGCTTGCCCTATCTGTCTGTCTATCAATCAATCAATCATGCAATCAACAATATATCTACCTATCTATCTATCTGTCTATCTATCTATCTGTCTATCTATCTAATCTAACCTAATCTAATGTAATGTAATCTAACCTAATCTAATCTATCTATCTATCTGTCTATCTCTCTATCTATCTATCTATCTATCTATCTATCCATCTATCTATCTAATCTAATCTAATCTAATCTAATCTAATCTAATCTAATCTAATCTATCTAATCTATCTAATCTATCTATCTATCTATCTATCTGTCTGTCTGTCTATCTATCTATCTATCTATATGTCTATCTGTCTATCTATCTATCTATCTAATCTAATCTAATCGAACCTAACCTAATCTAATCTAATCTAATCTACAGTAATCTAACCTAATCTAATCTAATCTATTCTATCTATCTCTCTGTCTGTCTATCTCTCTATCTATCTACCTCTCTCTCTTGCTCTATCTATCTATCTAATCTATCTATCTATCTATCTATCTACCTAGCTATCTATCTATCTATCTATCTATCTAATCTATCTATCTCTCTGTCTGTCTGTCCATCTATCTATCTGTCTATCTATCTATCTATCTATCTAATCTAATCTATCTAATCTATCTAATCTATCTATCTATCTGTCTATCTATTTATCTATCTTTCTTTCTATCTATCTATCTAATCTATTTCATCTATCTAATCTATCTAATCTATCTATCTATCTATCTACCTATCTATCTATCTATCTATCTACCTTCCTACCTACCTATCTAACCATCAAACTGTATCTAATCTAACCTAACCTGGCATTATCTCACTTAATTTATTGTAATCTAATCTGTCTATCTTTATCTATCTTTCTTCGGGTATCTATTTATATCTTTTCTGTTTCTTTGTTGAGTCTTAATTGTACATATGCGTTTGCTCTTTCTATCACACGACAGTCCAAAGGTATGATCGCTGCTGCGCAGCCGTGTCCGATTGCTCAAGGCGAGTTGACATTTACCGCGGCCCTGTTGCCGATTCCCGGTGCGCTGTTCCGGTACACTGTGGCCGGTGGCGGGCGCCGGTTTGTTGCCGGCGCCGGTTGCCGGTGCCGGTGCCGGTTGCCGGCGCCGGTTGCCGGAACGCAAAAAAAGTGTATTATGGGGGGGCAGGGAGGCCGGACAAGGCAGTGTGTGTGATAACTAGCTACCAAACCCCATCTTTCAGTGTTTGTGACTCCAGCAACTCATTGAAAATGTTTTCTTGCGCGCGCATGGATTTGTATGAATGCACATGAGCACCTATGCACGCTTTCGCGTTGCCCATTAGTGTATTTGATTGTAACATGAATGTGTGTGTGTGTGTCCACTCCTGTTTCCAAGGACACTACTCTAGCTATTTCTATTCCTATGACTTTACGATCCTTGTACAGCACCAGCAGGGGAGCAGTGGACCACTATCACTCACTGCCCAACGAAGACAGTGATAGTTTGGTCGTGATATCCAGAAAGGACGCTTTCTGGACGTACCTGCACCAATTTTTAACCTGTCATAAAGAGCTAATGCATCTTGTTGAAACATTCAAGTGAGCGGACTCAGCACTTCTTTCCGTTGAATCCAGTCAAGGGCTAAGTATTCACCTAAAGGGCTAATGCACTCCGCGAAGAAGCCTGAAATCGCGCTCTACGGAGCAACCTTCTCAAGTGTGTTTCCGCAGCTTCTTCCCACTGTGGTAAGCTGTGTGATCCCTGCGGGGCGCCGTTACTGCAAGAACCTTTTCACTCCTCACCGCAGGAGTAAGTGTTCCTGAAGATTTTCTGAAGTTTACTCGACTGAAATTTCCTGTTTGAATTCAGCTTGATTGGAATGTCTCACCTGACACACGTGAAGTGTTACTGCAGAGTTCACTGAAATTTCCACTGAAATATACTGCAGAGTTCGACTGCATTAGTTTCACACCGGAGAAGTCTTTCCAACTTTTAATTTTTCACTGCGCCGATTTCGGCTTCTCGGCCAGCGCCTCCGGGCCCGTGCCATTCGCTCGTAAGAGCATTTTACCCCACCCTTCACCCCCTGCACCTTTTCTTGTTTTTCTTTGCTTTTGCTTTTTCGTTTGTTCCTTCCTTCAGGCTTTTTAGGTATTTTCCAGGCTCGTTTAGTCAACACACGCCCTGCCCGCCCCCCGCACCCCCTGCACCTTTCTCTTCTTTCCTTGCCTTTTTCGTTTGTCTTCTTTTCTTCAGGCTGGTTAGGTGGCATCCAGGCTCGTTTAGTCAATACACGCCCGAACACCCCTTCACCCCCCTGGCAGGAAACAGGAGAGAGAAAAAGAAAAAGGAAAAGAAAAAGAAAAAAGAAAAAGAACACTACGCCGCGACGCTGCGGCCACGGAGAAACAAAGCTGATCCACTTGCTCAGGTGTCGCTTTGATGCAGCTCTTTATGACAAAAGGACATTCAAAGGAACACTGTGCCGCGGCGCTGCGGCCAAGGAGAAAAGACGATCCGCCAGCAGAGTTACCTTTCCACTTCGTGAAACACATGTTCTTCACCTTCCTTGAGTCCTCTTTTCGACGTCCTGATCTTCCACTATGTGTTTTCTGATCCGGTCTAGTTGCCCCGTGCTCGGCTTCTTGTGTGTGTCCACTCCTGTTTCCAAGGACACTACTCTAGCTATTTCTATTCCTATGACTTTACGATCCTTGTACAGCACCAGCAGGGGGGCAGTGGACCACTATCACTCACTGCCCAACGAAGACAGTGATAGTTTGGTCGTGATATCCAGAAAGGGCGCTTTCTGGACGTACCTGCACCAATTTTTAACCTGTCATAAAGAGCTAATGCATCTTGTTGAAACATTCAAGTGAGCGGACTCAG